GGGGAAAAAATAAGAACCAAGAGAGTATGCAAAGGTGCAAATTTCCAATGATGAATGTCATTATATTGTATACCTAAAATGTACCAATAAAAGGATATACAGTTAAAAAAAAAAAAGAACCTCTATGCTTAGGAGCAAGGAATGTGCTATTACAGGACAAAGTGTAAGTGTTGGAGTCCTGGGCACACACATTGTCCTCACAGACCCCTGAAATCCCATCCATGGAAGGAATCTCCTTAGAATGACCCCCTTTCTGCCATCTCCTTTATAGATGAGTGGTCCCAGAAGAAAAATGGCTTAAATTACCAACAACTGTGTGCCCTTGTCACATCACTGACCTTATAGCTAATGAGGATCATTGGAGATGAGCAGCCAATTAATTCTAAGGAGAGAGCCAAAGAGAAAAAGGGAAACGATAGCACCAGTCTCTTACTGGTGCTGCATGATATCTAAGAAACAGGAGTCTGTGGGTAGAATCTTCTGGGGTACAGTTACTGAAGTTGGTGGCCTCCCATGTAAAGAGTTTGGGGATGAGACCAGCCAGGCTTAGCTGACATGCATGAATGTGTCCTCTAAATGTCAGGTGTTGGAAACTTAACTTCCGAAGTCATATGTTAATGGTATTTGGACATGGAACCTACAAATGGAAGATGATTTGGTCATGAAGACTCTGGCATCATGAATGTATTTATCCATTCATGAAGTAATAAGTTATTGAAGGAGTGTCTTTTTATGGAAGTGAACTCTCTGTGGCTCATTTGCTCTGACTCATGATGCCCTCTGCCATTCTATGATACAGAAACACTGCCCTCCCCAGAAGTTGACTTGGTGCTTGCACTATGCTTTTGCACTTCCCAACCTCCATAACCATGCAACAAATAAACTTCTATTCTTTATAAATTACCTGATCTCAGATATTTTGTTATAACAACAGAAAATGGACAATGACATGCACTGAAATTCTCCCCACCCCTATAAAAGCATGACTATCACAATACAGTAGAAATGCCAAAACACACTCAGTAGAATCCAAGCCTATTGACCAAGTTTGTAAATGTCTACTTTGCCTGCATTACTGAGAATTACTAGTAGAGAATATTCAGCCATCTACATGTTCTTTTAAAACCCCCAAAATCCTGGCAGAAAACGCTAAATGTGCTCTAATTTTCAGATGAAATGACATGGCTGAGTTTCATTATGCTTTAAAATTAACATACCTCAATACCATGATAAACTCAGTGGTTGTTCTAACAAATGCCAACAGGTAAAAGGAAAGTAAATGTAATTGATTTTGATAGAATGCTAAAGGCAGAGTTTAAAAACAATATCATCTGTGATAGTTATAGCTAATTGTTTAACACAGTCTTCTGAAGTCTTTCTCTGAACAGTTATTCATATCAGTATGGAGTTGGTTAATGTACATGGAATTTCACTGTTTCTAAAGGAGCACAACCAAGGGGGAAAGAGAAAAGGTAATGGGGAAGGACAAAGGGACAAGGAAGGTGCTGGTCGAGCTCATTCTAGTCTGGTGCAGATTGTTAATAACCTAGCAGTAAACGTACTTTAATGAAACTCAGAACACACTTGTGGGGAAGTAAGAGTGCCTGTGAGAACCAGACTCATTACATACAAGAGGAATTGGGATATTAGTTCACTTGGGCAGGAAATAACATTGATGGCTTACAAGTTAATGTGCTGGAGGGAAATAGATCAGAAAACACAAATATTTAATGTGAGGAAGAAAAATGGGAAATCGATAAGACCTGAGCAGACCTACGGGTGATAATAAATAGTAAATCATAGGCATTTGCAGTGTAATTGAGAAGCCAAATGTCTAGAAGGACTGGGAGCTGGGAACCCAAGGCACTTCCTGGGGATGGAGTTGTTATGGTGATTCCCTTCCAAGATGAATGGACTTGGTCTCAGAATGCTGGACAGGGCAGATATAAGGAGTTCCTTGGGGATAAAAGATAAGGTTGGGGGTACAGAGGTACTATTCCTTAGAAGCAAGGGAGGACTCACAGAGCTGAGACCTGGCCCAGCAGGGTGGTATGCCCAGCAGAGGGTATGGGCACTGATCTGAGTTCAAGCCTCTAATTCCAGCTCTGCCCTTACTCATGGACGTCCCAATTCTCATACCTGTGAAATCTCTACCTCAGACTTGGACACAATGCCATCAGTGCTCAGTCAATATTTCTTCCTCCCCTTGTTTCCCATATCAGTCCTTTCTCCCAAGCTGTGCACTATGTCAGTTGGTCGGATACAAGGAGTACATCAGGCCCTCTCACAGCCCCAGGGGTGGTTTCCAATCATCAACCCATAGACACTTCTCCCTTCCCCAAAGGACCAGTCCAGAGCATCCTGCAGGTGCCTACCTTGTGCCACCATGGCAGGTATATCAAAGGCTACATCTGTTGATGTGAGACACACATTCCCAGGTCAATCTCCCCTCCTTCCACACCCCCTGCCTTCAAGGACCCCAGCAGCTGCACCAGGTCAGCACCACAGGAAGTGAGCAGTTCCAGAACAAGCTCCAGCTGTCTTAAACCATCTTCTCTCCTCCTTGACTGCTGGGCTGTTCGGGGGGGGGGGGAGTTGTGCTAGGGGAAGATGGATGAATCTTGCCAATCTTTCTGGCACATGACCACTTTCAAATCCTATTACCACCCCATCCCCAAGTTGGTATCTCTTAAACTGCAAAGACTAAGAAGGAATCAAAGACTCTGAAGGTACCAAAGGAGCAACACCCATCTTCAAGGGGGAAGAAGTGGCCAATGGAACTTAATTTGTGTTTCAACTAGAAAGAATCAGACCTGAAAAGGTGCCTACAGCTTGTTGTCATCTATCAAATGATCAGGAGAAAGTTATCTAATACTCTGGCTAAGCTTTATGGGCCGAAACAAATAAGAAACTGGCTATCCATTACAAAGTTACCAGGATAATGTGAAAACAAACATCCAGAATGTTTACTTCTCCTATAGTTTTGCCTCCCACCAAATATATTTGTCTACACTGATATAATTACACAGATTTAATGCCCACTGGTGACAGATCCTCCTTGTACACTTCCCTACCTGAAAACTTTAGTAGTTACCTCTTCACTGGCTTCCTCCATCCTACACTTTGCCCCCTCTAGTTGAATGGCCATGGTCTTTCCCTGGAGCCTTAGGTGACTCTGAAGAAAGCAAGGCCACCCCTTTGTGACACAGTAGCACAGAAACAATCCAATCAAAAGGACCCTACCAAGAAACTGGCTGGTTGTAGGAGGAGACCTGAGAATCCCAAACTTTCCAGGACTTCAACAATTCATCAGCCTCAAAACAGAAAACAAAAACTACTACAAGAAATACCTGTCTCTGTTACATTCTGTCTTTGGCATATAGCAGGGCTGAATTCTCTAGACAACCCCAAATGACTCTGTACGCTTTGGCCAGTATACTAACTTTTCTTCTCATGGATTCATTTTCATGCATTTGACTGAGCCCTCAGCTCTAATCCTTGCCCCTCAGAAATCCAGGGTGGTCATCAACACCAAGCAGCAAAGGACCTCATTTGAGAAGGTTCTTTCAGAGTATGATAGAAAATAGAAAGCATTGGGTTAGAGGGTCTCATCAGCTCATCTAACCCAAACCCCTGCATTTAAGGCAAGAGGCTCTCAGCCCAGAGAGGCCAGGTTCCCTCCCCTAGGTGCACAGCCGTGGACAGTCAACCACAGCTAGAATGTGAGGCCTGGCTTCTCTGCTTTTTTGGAGGACATTTTGCTGGAGTTTTTTAAGAAATAAGTTATTCTGGCTAAAACTCATGAGTTACACTTCTGTGATTATCCCTACCTGAGGTAGAACCACATTGATTGGAATTTCTAGGCTTTCAGATCTGGTATCTCCTTTTCCTGTAAAATTTGGCCTCGAATGCTATGGAAAAGAGAAAATAAGATTTCTGATTCTAAATTCACCCTCTCAGCCTCAACTACTCACTGGAATACATGACGATTTTCCACTGATTTAATCCCTTCTTGTCAATTATGAAATCTGAGTGTGAAGGTATATGTAGATGATATCTGATAAGATGTTTTATTGATCTCTGAACAGAAAATTAGCACAGGAATTATAGTTAACTTAAAAGCCTTATGGACATCTTTGAAGCAGAAATAGCTTCACCTACTTCCTTATCTAAGACTGCTATTTGTATCCCAAACAAAAAGCCATACCAATGTGAGATGCCAGGTACAGGTCCTATGCAGTTGATCACCAAAGCACTCAGAACATTCCAGAGGTGACATCACAAAACAGTAAGGTGCTTCTCAGTGCTCATAGTTTCTCTCTGAGTGTCATAGGTGGGACCGAAGCATCCAACAGGCAGGAACAGTTTGCACTGGCTGTGGTCACATGGCTGGTCAGGGTCAGTGCGACACATAATGGCCCAAACACTAGCCCCTGCTTGGTCACCCCATGTCACTCACATCTTCACTGCCAGGCTAGGCTGAGACTCCTATCCTTCCTCCAGAACACAGGTGGTGTCTTCTACATGAAGTTAGATCACTTAAGGAAAATCACCTTGTAGCCTCAGCACTCTGGGAGGCTGAGTTAGGTTTACAAGTTCAAGCAACTTAGTGATTTAGCAAGACCCTGTCTCAGAATAAAACTTTTTTTTAAAGGCCAGCAATGTAGCTCAAGACAGAAGCCCTGGATTTAATCCCCAGGACTTTTTTTAAAAAGGGGGATGGGATACAACTAAATTCTACATAGACCCAGGGAGGAAATGGAATCTGAGGTGTGTACTACAGTTCAATTCCATTCTGATAGTTCCTACCTGGAGTTCATCAGACCCCAGAAACTGGAGGCTCAGCCCCACAAGACATCCTTGGCTTCAGATGCCAATCACAGGCCTGGCTTCTTGTACTTCTAACTGATCAGCTATAGACCAGGGGTTCCTATGAGACTTTTATGGAGATCTTACTACATAGGCATAGTTAATTAAATCATTGGCCATTGATAGTTTAGCTCAATCTCAAACCCTCCACCTTTCCAGGGATTGGGGGTGCTGAAAATTTTAACTCTTCAATCTCCTGGTTGGCTCCTCTGGCAACAGTCCCTGGCCCTGCCATAGTCACTTCATTAGCATAAATTGAGGTGTGTTCCAAAAGAGCTCTGTAAAACACTTATGATTATGTAAAACCTATCCCAAGGGTTTTAGGAACTCTCTGTACCAGGAACCAGGGCAAAGGCCAAACACATATACTTTTTATTATACTACATGTAGAAACTGCATCCAGACCATAATACCCAGTCCCTTTGATCTTAATTCTATCAAATCATTCATCTTTGGAGCTATTAGTGGGACTCCTCTTGTATATCATAAGTCTCTTATAACCCCGAAAGCCCCAATTCTGCATGATAATGCTTTTGAGATTAGGAAGGAAGTGGTGGATCCAAGTCAGAAGATACAGAGACAATGAAAATCTTCCACACTCAAGTTACAAACAAGCCTTGTTTTAAGAAAACTCAAACCAGATGTAGTGGCACATGACTGTAATCCCAGAGCTCTGGGAAGATAAGGTAGGAGGATTACAAATTTGAATAGAGCCTGGGCAACTTGGTGACCTAGTCTCAAAATAAAAAATAAAAAGGCTGGAGATGTAGATCAGTGCAAAAGCCCTGGGTTCAATCCCCAGTACTGATGGAGGAGAAAGAAAGAAAAAAAGAAAGAAAGAAAGAAAAAAAGAAAGAAAGAAAGAAAGAAAGAAAGAAAGAAAGAAAGAAAGAAAGAAAGAAGGAAGGGAGGGAGGGAGGGAGGGAAGAAAGGAAAGAAGGAAGGAAAGGAGGAAAGAAGGAAGGAAGGAAGGAAAAAGAAAATTCATTATGGAAAAATTCCTATTTCCTATAGGAAAACTAAGAAGGTGAGTAATTGCATTACCAAAGAATTTTCATTTAATAAAGGAATTTTTCCAAGGGTTTTTGTTTTAATTTTAAAATTGTGGCTACAGATGCATAACATCTTAACCATTTTTAACATATAGTTCAATAGTGTTGAGTATATTCACATTATTGTGCAGTAAATCTCTAGAAGTTTTTCATCTTGCAAAAGTAGAACTTCTATTAAGCACTATTTCCTCTTCTTTCTTTCCCACAGTCCTTAGTAAACACCTTTCTATTTTCTGCTTCTATGATTTTGACCACATTACATATCTCATATGAGTAGAATTATAGAGTACTTGTCCTTTTGTGTCTGTCTTAGAGTTTCAGGATTCATCCACATTGGAGCATATGACAGGATTTCCTTCTTTTAAAAGTCTGAATATATCATTATACATATATAGTCACATTTTATTTATTCATTCTCTCTTCCATAAACATTTGGATTATTTCCATCTCTTGACTATTGTGACTAAAGCTACAGTGAACATGAGTGTAAAAATAGCTCCTTGAGATCTTGATTTGAATTTGAATATATACATATAAGTGGAATTTCTAGATCACACAAGTAATTCAAATTTTAATTTTCTGAGAACCCTTCATACTGTTTTCCATAGCAGTTGCACTATTTCACATTCCCACCAAGAGAACAGTTTCAAATTCTCCATATCCTCACCAACACTTGCTCTCCATTTCTCCAGATTCTTTAAGAGGTTAGCTCCTGTACTGTCTGAAAACAGAACTCTGTTTTCCCTCATATATACATCTCAGAGAAGCCGCTTCACTTTCACTGGGATACAGTGAGAAGAGCTGCACAAAGCACCAGGGAAACATTAGTGGATGTCACCTAGACTTGAGGCCTGGAAGGGGCTAATTATTCAAATTGTCTCACTCCCTTTGACTCAAACCTCCAGCAGCTGGCACAAACTCAGTGCCTCTGGAGATGCAGTATCATCTTATGTGAGGCTCAGTTGTTTGCCTCCTTGATAGATTGACTTGCTTTTTTATCTTTAAAGGGAGGAGTATTTTAACCTGGGCCACCTCAGTACAAGTATCTACAGTTGCCCATTAACTGGGTTTCCTCCTCCTCAGTAGGACACACACATCCGTATCCTAGTGCTGAGAAGCTTCCTTGACAGCTCACCCCAAATGCCTGTTATTACTCAGATTAACAATATTATCAACCATCCACATTCTGTGAGCATCTGCAATTGGCTAGCACTTCACAGAGCCTAGAGGTAGACATGCCTCTTGGATTTCTAATCTGAACACAGGTAGAGCAGAGACAAAGGAAAGGGCAAGCATGCATCTGAGCCTCTCCAGGCTTCTCTTGCCTGCAGCTGTCTGATGATGTGTCACATGGGGAAAATCAACCAACAGGAGGCCTGTCAGAGAGCCCAGGACTCCCTGCCCTTCCTCAGAGAGTCATACAACCACAGCTTCTGGTCCAGGAATCAGAAGTGAGCATGAGGTTATATTCTGACCTTCCTCACCCTCTCATTTGTGTAGAAAGGAATAGGAATATGGGTCTGGATGCTAAGTTGCTATGACGTCTGTCATTTCCAAATTGCATGACATGACTAAGAACCTTGGCTACTTTTGCCATTTGAGACAGAGGGCAGCTGTACTGTGGCGCAGCCCAAATACAGTAAGATCTTGGCCCAAGCTACCCTTTGAACAAACCAATAGCTGTCACCTGCCAAAGAAGCAGAAACAACCAGAAAGTGCAAGAGAGAGTGCTGATAAGTCTACCAGGCAACAAATAAAGACCAACTCTTGGGGTGGTCTGAGAGCAGAAGGAAGTTAGAAAAATTGAATGGCAGCTTAAGAGGCAGCTGGCTGAGGTGAATAGTTGTTATAAGATAGAAGAATCGTTCACATTTCAGCAATGTTGAAGAAAAGGATTGTAGGTGAAGGCGCTATACTGTAGTGCTGATGGCCCTCCTCCAGAGATAATTCTGAGAGTATATCCCTCTTGGTAAAATCAAAAAGAGACCATATGCAGGAATGGTTCTCATAAGTAACATTCAAACGTGGGTGTCTCTAGAGCTCTATACGAACCTTATAAAACTTTCCGTTTAAATCCAAGAGCTACTAGAAATTCCTTCAAAGTTCTTTTCCCTAATATTAGTTTATTCACTTGATCTAAGAATGAAGGTTCATTAGTTGTTCCTTAATAATAATGGAATTCTTACTGTCTTAGTCACTTTCTCATTGCTGGGACAAAAGACCTAAAATCACAATTTAAAGCAGGAGAGGTTTATTTTGGTTTTAGATGTCTCACTCTTTGCATCATTGGCTGGCTCCAAGCCAGAAAAAGCATGGTGGACAAGCCTGGGAGCAAAGTGGCTCATATCACGGTGTTCAGAAAGCAGAGAAAGCGAAGGAGGAGCAGAGAAGGAGATCCACCCTTTTAAGTCATGCCCCCGGTGACCCACTTCTTCCAACCAGACCCCACCTCCTAACAGCACATCCAGCTAAGGATTCATCAGTGGATAAATCCAGTGGTGACTATAGTGCCCCTGTGATGCAATCATCTCCCAAAAGTCCCACATCTAAACACATGAGTCTTTGAGGGGACATCTGAGATTTAAGTACTACAACATTCCACCCTGGCCCCTAAAAGACTCATGTCCATCTTCTATGTAAAGTGCATTTAGTCCATCTCTAATACTCACCAGTCTGAACAGTTCCAGCATTGGGGAAAAGTCCAAGTCCAAAGACTCTTCTGAGTCTCCAAGCAAACTCTTAGTTTTGAGCCCGTTTTAAAAAAGTTATACACAGCTGAAATATAGTGACACAGGAAAAGCATTCCCATTCCGAAAGGGTGAGTTGGGGGATAGAAAAGAATGAAAGCAAAGCAAGATTGAAAACTAGCAGAGAAAACATTACCTCCTATAGCTCTGTGTCCAGCACCTGGGGCAAGCTGTGGGAAGATGTGAGCTCTAAACAGTTTGTGCAGCCCTTCCCCTACTGCCTGTTGCAGTCCTCATGGCCTCTTTCTTGGATCGCAAGAAACTGAAGACCAATGTCCAAAGCTAATGGCAAAGACCTTTCCTCCAAAAAGGTAACACTTCCTTCTTTCCCTTTTTATTCTGTCCAGGCTACATGCCTAATGGTTGGTGCTCCCTTATCCAAGGTGGGTCTTCCCCTCTGTGTTTGCTAATCTACGTGTAAATCCTCCACATACACACCCAGAACTTTACTAATCTTCTAGGCTGCTCTTACTCAAATCAAACTGACATATCACAATTAATGATCATACTTACCAAGTGACATGTGATCTCCAACGGGAGCCAAATAAATTGATTGAAATATTTCTTCAGGATCTAATTAAGGGTCCCAGTTTCTCAGTTCTCTCAGAGAGTTAATGTGTTCAAGTCTCAGAACAATTGACCCATGCTTAGACTTGCCTCACTCTGAGGAAGAACCAAA